AATCCTGGTTGGAGGTCAGTCACTGGGAGCATGACCTGGCAGTGTGTATTTTTTTGTTGCCATCTCTTTCTTCTCTGCTTCTTGGATGAACTGAGTAGTATTTCTCCACCAAGCTCATCCTTCGTGCCATTTATGCCTCCTACCCAGCCCACCACAAACTTAACGTCTTGATCAAAAACAGATTGTTTCTTCTATAAGTTGCAGGTGTTAGATATTTTTCCCCAGTGATGAGAAAATGATTAAAAGACAAAACTTGCAAGGAATTTGTCTACATTTTGTCCATAACCAAAGATATTGTATGAGACTGATGTAAAGATGGTAGACTCATTAATCTGATGGAGGAAATTTCAAGGCAATCTAATGTTCTGACTCTGGCATGAGTACTTCTGGCAGTTTATAGCCAGACCTGCAGTGGGAATCAGGAGAAAAACTAGCTATGGAAAATTTGCAGTTTCACTATAAAGAAAGGTTCAAAGCTTGAGACGAGGAAAGCATGATTGCTGAAAAGATTAGCATTAAAAACAAACCATGTACCTTTGCATTAATACAATAGGAAAGAAGACTCAAAGACATCGCAGGAATTGTGCAGACTCTACTTTGGTAAAGTGTCTGGGTGTAAAAGAGTATAATTCCTTTGAATAACTTTGCTTTGAGAAGTTAGCCCCATGATGTCCTGCTCTTTGAGGGTTGCCTAGGGAAATGTTTCTCTGAGATTATCAGTTCAGGCACTCAGTTATCCCTGTAGCCATGGTCCAAGGGGGCCAAGCTACTGCTCCAGTCAGCATCAGACCTCAGTGTTACTCCTTTGACACTGGTTTTTCAGAGATGCAGATTGCAACTGTTTTATGATCATGGTGTCTCCCACTCAAACTACAAAGCCAGTCAATTTACTACTGTGAGGTAATGACTGAAGCTGTGAGAGCATAAAAAGCAGCAGTAGAGACCCCCAGAAGCTGGAGATACCAGGAACCTGACACTCTTGTGAGAAAGGCTTCAGAGAGTGACTGAAGTTAGCCCACGAGAAAGGCCATGTGGACTCCAACCAGCTAGACTGTAGGGATGGTCTGTCAGAGTCTTCTTGAACTCACATTTCATTGCCACAGTGGCCTAGATGTTTGATGTGGGACTGCAGACAATGTTTTCCCTGCTGAGTCTAAGTTTGCTTTGGTCTAACTCCTGTTGTCCCTACATTCCTCCCTTTTGAAATGCAAATGTTAACCCTGTGACACTATAGGTTGGAAATACTGAACTTTTTAAAAATTTTTGGCTAAGAATTTGCCTTTAGTCTCAAAAGACACTTTGGATTTGGACTTTCCAGCAATGCTATAATTGTGAAGTCTGTGAATTCTTAACAGATGCACTAAATACATTTTGTACAATGAGATGAATATGAGTTTTGGGGAGGAGCAGAATGTTACAGTTTAAATCTAAAATGTCCCCCCAAACCCAAATGTGTTATAGCATTGATTGGATCATCAGAATACTATGTTCATCCATGGATTCATCAATGAATTCGGTAGCTAAATGTGCGGTGAGGAGGTATACGGTGTCACTGGAGGCCTAACCTGGAAGGGTGGAATCTTGTCCTCATTCTCTGTCTCTCTCCACTTCCTGGATGCCAAGAGGTAAGCAGTTTACTTCCATTAGGCCTTTCCACTATGATATTTTTGCTGTGGAGTCAGTCTGCCTTGTGATGAAACTTTTAACCAGAATAAATTCCTACTCTTTTATAAGTGCTCAGTACTTTGTCCAAAAGATGGAAATATGACTCACACAGTTTATTTCTGTCAAAAAGAGTAGCTTTTGCTCATTTTGTCTTGCCTCCTTTTCCTACAGATTGCTTAATAATGAAAGGAGTTTTTTACATATTAGAAGTCAAGTTGCACTGGTCCCAGCATTGTACAGTAGTTGACTTACTCATTAATTCCTGCACATCATAAATAATTATTGGGTGCTTTCCATGTGTCCAACTCTATTCCACACTTATTCACACAGCAATGAGCAAGGTTTCTACAGTCATGACAGCAAAGGGAAGGTGTTCAGCACGTGTAATAGAAAGAATATTGGGGGGGGCTACTTTAGTTAGATTAGACAAGGGCTGTCTCCCTAAAATAAAGCCAAATGATGAAGAGATCAGACATAGATTCAGACCAGCCAATCTAGACAGCCGGGAGACACTCCAGCAGAGAGAAAGGACCAAGAAAGTTTTAAATTGGATCTTATCTAAGAACAATGCAAAAGCCAGGCATCTGAGCACAGTAAGCAGCAAGGAGAGTGACAGGAGGTGCACACAGGTAATCTTGTCACAGAATTAAGTAGTGAGAGCTGCTAAGATTCCTGATAAAGTCTGTTTGAGTTTCTCTTTGTTAACTCAAAGGGTTTCAAACATAGGTGGTAAGATCACTTACCTGGAGAGAAACCTATTGAGTGTCAATGAAAAAGATTTTAAACTAAATCTAGATGAAAAGTAATAATATTGACTGATTCTATTGGGATTTATGGGAAACATGCGAGCATTAAAACTGTTGAGGTAAAAACTAGTAAGTTCCTGGCAAAATCTTCAGTCATTTTTTAGCTGTGATCTGTGTATGAAAAGCTGTGTGCTCACTGACACAGGCTCTTAGGATAGCATTACTCTTAAAAACTTAGCTAGATATTACATTCTTTTCGAGTAATTTTTCATTACTACATAAATGTTTTCCTAATTTATATGTCAATTTTTAGTCAGTAAAATAAAATTTTCACTCATTCACTGAACTTTTTCTCTTTGCTTTGTGTTACTATTTTCTCATTATCTTTGGTTTTCAAAGTTTTTCTCTGTTTTGCCTTAACTGCACTTTTTATTTTCTCATAATTTCAGTCTGATTTTAAAACTACAGATATATCTTTTCAAATTTCTTAACTATTATGTTTTTAAATATTATCTGATAATATTTTCTGTTCCTTGCATTGCTCTAAAAGTGATGCTGACTTTTTAAATTCTATTTTTCACATCCCTCAGTCTTACTAACTGAAAATATTGAATACATTTAGAGTACTCTTTGGGTGTAAGTACTTTTCTAGGTCCTTTTCATATATCAATTCATTTAATAATCACAGTACATTTAAGTAGGTTGTATTATTATTTCCTTAACCTATTACCACACAGGAAAAAAAAAAACCTTGTGTATAATTTCTTATTTAATATTTACCCTGAGTTTTTTATTTTAACTGCTATATTTCTTCATTTTCTCTTTTACTATGAATTTTTTCTATGGGTGAAAGCTATAGTCACCTTTCTTCTGTAGATATTGTAATACATATAATTGATGCCATTTAGGAAAATTATATTGCAGTGTATTTTTCTATAGTTTTAAAATTAAATAAATTGCACATATTATTTCCTGTTTGTATCCAACTCATAGAGCTTAATCCATCTATCATTAATTAATCATTACTATGTGTTTGAGGTCAGTTGATTTCTTTACACATATTTTATACATACAATATATACAATATGGTCTATCACAGGTGTGGGTATTTTGATCACAATATACCATGAGTATTTAATTAAAATAAAATTATTATGGTAAAAATTATATTGTAATTAGTCCCCCTCACACACACTTCCTCACTTTGGACATGCTCATCTCACAGTTTTTACCGCTTTCCAAAGTGGGTCTGAAAGTCCCCTCTCCAAAAATATGGGGAATGCTGCTGCCAGGTATTGGGCTAGTAGAATTTTAATGATGTGCTCACATTCACATTATTCACAGAAAATCCAGTAGTGTACAATTTCTAACTTTTCCCCAAAGCCAAAATGATCATGAAAGGTAAAAGTTTTAAATTAATTCAGGACAGTGAGGCAGCAGTGACATCACAACTAAAGATATTCAAGAAGAAAGGTTTCCTTAACTGCTTCAGAGTTAATCGTGTAAATGCATTCAAAGTACAGGAAAGTACTCTAAAAGGGATAAATGGTAATATGTTTTTTACCATAGTAATTTTTTATAAATGTAAGCATTCATCATAATTTTGTCTCTTTCTTTTTTTGTACCAGGAATCACCTCACACTTGCCAGGCAGGCACTGATGCTGCTGAGCTATATCCCCAGCCCTCATCATAATTTTCTGTCACACATTGTATAGCTGTAGTATTTTACTGTCCCGAGAAGGATAACAAACATTACCGTATGGTGGCTCCATTGCTAATAACAGCAAAGATAGTAATTGTTCTTCCAATTTCAAGGGATATGGCGTCCTGTACTATTCATTGGCTATTGATTTTCAATTTTAACATGGAGTTTGCAGAAAATATACCCTGTACAGTACTGTGTTTTGAAACATAGTGGTGCTGCCTTTGTGATCTATTTGGAATGGATACTGTGACTCTGAAAATAGTTTCTTTAGGAATCACCCACCCAGTTGCTGAGAATATTGCTTCCTCTTGGTTTCTAGCTTGTCTTCCATGGAAATTACCTTCACATGCAAGAAAATGCCTTTTTAAAAAGCAGGCTCCTTTTCTGGAGCAGCCTGAAGCCAATGGCTACAGTCAGTGACATACAAAACCCTCTTCTTTCAGCATGAAAAAAATTCAGTAAGTGTTCCCATTAGGATTGGTTGAGCTTTGCTGTAACTCACTATGGATCGGCTTCCACTTGTGCCTGAGTCTAGTGTTCTCACACGTGTAAAGCTGTTCTTCCCAACTGCACTTTCCCATAAAAATTGTGCACAGAACACAAGAGATTGCTTCCAGAGTATTGGCTGTGAGACGTCAGTACAGTTGTAATTTTCATGACTGGCACGTGCATTAAAGAAACATACCTTCTGCATTTGCTTATGGAAAATTCTACAGGCATATTTTATTTCCACTTGGTTCACTTCTATTTTTCTCATCATAATCTAACATTTTCTGAGACGGGTTAAAATATTTCATCTGTCTTACTCACTTTCTTGGTCACTGTGGTAAAATACTGACCACCTGTAAATTAAAGGAGGAAAAGTTTGTTTTGTCTCACATACCAGTCTGTAGTCAGCTGGCTCTGAAGAAGAAATATCATGGAAGAGGAGAAAGAGGAGGAGAAGCTGCTCGTGTTATGGTTGCCAGACAAGCATAGTCAAGGGGGGAACCAGGAAGGGAAACATGCACTTCCGGGTCATAGGAATGCTTCTAACCCAACTCTGTCTCTTGGCAACAAGTCAGCTACACCTCCCCATTATTCCCTCATCCCCGAACACGCCCTGCCTATGATCTCATAAGGCCGTGAAGGACGGTTATTGAAGGGAAAAAGGGGAAAAGAGGAAGTAAAATGAATTAATTTGTGTTATGCACACAGATCAACTCCCATTAGTACAAATTTGCACTATTTGTACTAATAAAATAAAAATTAAAAATTAAAGAGTTAACTGATCCCAGCGGTCAATAATTCCAACACTGGGAAAACATAATAAAATTTAATCCTGTCTTTACACGGCAACGTATTGGACTTACTATGCGTATTTTTAAAAAGTTAGGCTTTTACATTTTATTACATCAGTATTAACACAGGTTAAAAATAAAACAAGACTAAAGAACATAGGGTTAAAACATTTCAACTTTTATTAAAGATTGAACAACTATTGTGTGACCAAAAGAATATGCAATAAATAGAATTAATTTAGGGTAGAAAGAAAAAAATTAGAAGTCATTGTATAAAAGTTAGTTGTCTTCAGTAGAGGGCAAGGGTGGCTCAGGTGAGGGACAGCGGGGTTACATGGTCAAGCAGCCCCACATTCCTCAGCAAGAGCCCATGAGACTCAAAACTGTGAGGTTCAAGGCTTACCTGTTGCTTATTTATCCATCAACCAATGACACAGACCCTTCAGTTTATCTAGGTGGGGTCCCTGCTCAGGTTTACAAAAGGAAAGATTGTACAGGGCCTGAGACTTAGCTCAGCAGTGCAGCACCTGTGTGGCAAGCATAACGTCCTGAGTTTCATTCCTGTAAAAGGGGGGGGGGGGATCAAATAGTTCAGAAGAAACTAAAAAGTATATAGTTTTAAATTCTCTGGCAGATGTTACTGTGAGGTTTTTGAGAAGACTGAACTCTTTCTGCAGTCTGGTGGGTCACAAAAACTAAAAGTTCATAGTTTCACTAATTTTCTTCACATGGATACAGACAACACCCAAGTGTCAAGCCCCTACTTGTTCTTTATATGCACATTTTCTTCAGACCATTAGACATAGTGAAACGAAGCTGAATTAAGCTATTTTGGAGAGACAAAGCTATTTGGAAGAAATTGTTTTGAATTTTAATTTTCTTGTGTTAATAAAGAATTAGAGATAGTCTCCTGATTAGAACTATCAATTTTGAATCATATTGCTTTTACTCAGGGAATATTGGGTCTTTGAAGCTGGAGCAAACTGTGCAAGTGTGGTACCCTTGGGGAGTACCAATTTATAGAGATTCAAGTAACAACATCAACTGTTATGATCAAAGAGAAGCCTCAGTTAAGTCCAGGAAAATCACAATGAGTCAGAAATTCGTAGATTAACAAAAAAAAATAGGAAGTGTTTCCCTAAAGAAAGATTATCAGAAATTTAAAGAGCAGGAGAAAATTACCCTTAGATCTTAAAGAATTAATATGGTAATAATTCTTCTAACATTTAAGGATGCTTTTTATGTGTCATTGAAGAAAACATAAATTCTCTTAAAGGCACTATTCATTCAGAGCTTCATAGTGAGTTTTCAGTATTAGTTTTAACAATGATTTTAAGTGCCAGAATTTTAGATAACAAAACTAGTATTCTTTGATCCAGAAACTAATTTTCTTTTTTAAAAAAAGATCTCATCAGCATTAGAAGGGCTTAACAGGTTATCTTGGACTCCACTGGGCAGTCGAGTACATAATATGCGAGCATAGAATAGATACATAGCTGTAAAGGAGTCAGCAGACAAGAGTTTTGTATGTTCAAGAGGCTCAATTGCTTTGGTTTTCCTGGCCGTCTAACCATGGGTCCTCATAAAGATCAAGGTGGGGTGATGCAAAAACCAGTGAGCTGGGAGCTCAGAGTTGTTTGTTTATCATAAAATTTGAGCAGTCTGCTTTCTCAGGCAAGGAAGAGGGAAGTTTAGCAGCCATGGTAGAGACCAGGCAGGCTTTGGAATCAAACAGATTTGGGATTCAACTCTACACATTTTTCACTTGCAGTAGTGGTCCCTTTCTTCTGCTTTATCTGCATATTTCTTGTCTGCCTACGTAAGTTATTTTATTATTGTTGAACCTTATGATAGCCTACTGCCATCTTAGGGTTCATGGACTTAACTTCTCACCTAGTTTGCCAGCCCATATACTTCTTTCTACAGTGTACATCATTTCTCTAAATTCCACAGAGTGTTCAAAATGCTTTTTCCTATACTTTATCAGCCTTCCTTTGCCTTTGTGTTCTAGTTTTCCCTAGATACTCAATCCATTCTTTTGTTTAGCTACCCTTTTACTGTGTCCTCCTCAGCAGAGTACAGTCTCATGGAGCTTTAATGTGACATTCTTACCAGTTCAACTTACATTAAAAGAGAATCCAGGTTTATCCCAAGGCGGCCTCGATGATACACCCGACCTCTGGTCTTAGCTAAGCATCTGACCGGAATTTTGGTCTTTTCTAAAGCTGTGTTCTGCATGTTGCACTTTGCAGGGGCTGGGTTTGGGAGAACTCTGTGTGCTTCAGCATCTTGCTGAGACCCTTCTATGTGTGAATGAGACGCATGCATGTTTAAGGGAAGCTGCCTACCACAGAAGAAACCCGAGAGACTGCCAAGGATGACCATTTGCTAGGGTCCTGAGCATGTCAACAAGCTCCATGTAAAAGACGAGAGGCAGGACATTCCTTCCCTGAACAAGCTGACTTTGGAGTCAGTCAGGGCTCCCTCTCCTGATCTGAAACAGTGCCTGTGGGGTAGAGGATGTGTAAGCTGACTGGCACAACAGTTGGAGCAGTTAGTGGGAATCAAGAGATATTACAGGGACTCGCACATGAAATTGTGTGTGATATAAAGGCTAAAATCTGCTGCCATTAACCGAGACAATAGTTAAGGATGCTCTCTTTACAGTGTTTTGAGCATTGCTGTATGATATAAATCTAAAGCTACTTTAGTGTTCAAGAAAACTTGTATTTATTTTATAGTAACCCCTTTGGCAGCAATGAGTTAAGAATGAAAAGGTGTCTATAAGGTAGGTATGGGTGTGAATGCTCCAGTTACCAGCTACTTGGGAGGAAGAGAAGGGAGGATTGCAATCCTAAGAGAGAAAGGAACAAATTCCCAAGACTGGAACACACACACACACACACACACACACACACACACACACACACACACAGAAACATCTAAAAAGCAATTTAGTGTCCTACCACTACAGGACAGTGTAAAGCATTTGCATGTGTAAAACCCTAGGTTTGGCCCTAAGTGCCAAACAAAATTAAAGATCTTTATAAAAGTCTGGGCTTTTTTCTCACAAAAGTTGATTATACATGTGTTAGTTGCCAAAAGTCAACAACTTGATGCTGACAGCTGCACGGTCACACCTCCTTGCAAAGCATGACTGTTTGGTTAGATCAAATGGCTATTCCTTACAATTCATTTCACTAATCTTTAATTTCAAAATTGAGTGTGTTGCCACGAGCAGCAAAACTTTGTAAACTGTTTTAATTTTAGCAAGTTTATATTTCTGCCATTAAATACTTGAGAGACCAAATTCACTTACTTCCAATAATACTTCAATTATTTCAAGCAACTCACAGAATCAAACTAAAGCTTTTTGGAGTTGTTTTTGAAAAGGATGAAACATCTAACATTGGTTTGAATTTTACTATAAATTCATTTAAAAAAATTTAACATTTAGGAAACTCACATTATTTTAGTGACAATATGAATAAGCACATTGATGTAATGATTGAAAACTGGGCTCTTTTACACTTTTGGACCAAGAATACATATAGACTTACTTGTATTAATTATATAATTCACATGCATATTAAATGTATTCTAGTTCACACAAAAGCTGTAATAATGTAGAGTTAAAATTCACATATGTGGATAAGTATACTGATATGTACAGAAGGAGAAAGACATAGCAACTTTTGATGAAATGTTGATATCTAATACAAAAATAGTTCTTTAGGGTAGCAAGTTATGCCAGATGTCTATGCCAGTCTTCTGCAGCCAGATCTTTTAAGAACTACAGTAATAACTCAGTTCGTGAATGCTTCTGTTCACAAGCAATTCAGTTTGTGAACAAGCCATTCCGCAAAATTTTGCTTTTGTTCACGAACTCTACATCATAAACATGAACACAATCATGGAATGAATTAAGTTCATAAACCAAGGTATCACTGTATTTTGTTAGTAATTACAAAACTTTGCTCAAAGTTGACATCTCTTTTTCATTTGAGAATTAATTTAAAATTTTAAAAACATTCTAAAATGGAACACAAAAGCAACACAACACCACCAGTTAAAAGGGAAGAAGTGAACAAATTCAACAATGAGAATTTAAATGTTGTGTAAGTATAATTTTAAAAATCTGTAATTGTATTTTGAAATGTCTTAACTTTTAGAACAAGTCTTTTGATGATGCTCTCAATTTCAATCGGATATATTTGTATCCTATGTCACAATGTAATGAAATGGCAAAAACCTACCATGTCACACGATGTACATTTGGTAAAACTTACCAAAAAAATGTAAAATAGAGACAACACACTGGATGATTTTGTCTTGTAAAAGTGTGTGAATAAGAGTACAATGCATAATAGCAGCACAAGAATGCAGTGAAAATATTCAGGTTGAAATATTTATAATTTTCAGTGCAGTAGAACAAATTACTATTGATTTAAAATAACTTGCCCTGAGTGTACCAAGTGTATTTCAAACAGTACAAATTATCTTTTCTATTATAACCAAAGAGTCAAGTAAGAGTATCAGCACTCTCAACTTGATTAATCAAAAGACTGCAGGCAATTTTATGATGACTTTAAAATGAGACTATAGTAAAATATATCTTTCGTAAAAATACCAGCAATATGCTGTTGAAGACACGTATAACCAAGAAACTAATTAAAGTGCTGTATGTGAAAACAGAGTGCTGAAT